GATGGGATGGTTGTTAGCGGCCGATTGCCCGAAGAAGAAGAAGAAGAAGATTTATAGGGTTGACCTCTTCTCCAATGAAATACTATCAACATGCTATCGCCGGTTATATATATAAAAATATAAAAATAAAAATAAAAATCGATGTACATTTTGAATAAATTTTATAGCTCAAGATCCACCGAACCGATTTCGATAAAAATTTTAGGGCATATTAAGATTGATATGTAGATGGTTTCTGTGAAGATTGTACGCTTTGCGGTATGTGGTTCCGGAGTTATGGCCTCTTAAGAGTACAATATTAATCACGCACGCACGTCATATGTGAAATTTTTTTTTTATTGATATTATATTGATGTATGCTACATCGTTTGGATGCGTTCTGAACGTACGAACGTAGATATGAAAAAAAATTCCACTATTGTCGATAAATTACGATTTCAGAGAGATTTTAGTTTGCGACTAATTTGTTGACGTCATATTTGAAATTTTTTTTTTATTGATATTATATTGATGTATGCTACATCGTTGGATGCGCTCTGAACGTACGAACTTAGATATGAAAGAAAATTCCACTATTGTCGATAAATTACGATTTCAGAGATATTTTAGTTTGCGACTAATTTGATGACGTCATATATGTATTATATTCGTTTGATGCTAGGGGAATAATAATTTTTTTTGTAGAAAATATGGATGGATATTATGGTGAAAATGTAGGGTTTATATATATATATATATATATATATATATATATATAAACAAAAACTTAATTATCATTAAGTTATAACAATTAATTATAAAATCATAATAAATAAATAATAATACAACTAACATTGCATAATAATTGTATTTCAACACAGTTATAATTATTATATTTATATATATGTATAGTCTGTATATTATGTATGCCTACATATTTCATAATCATAATAATGTTATTACAAAGCTTAGCAACAATAACAACTACTCGTGTAAAAAGCTTAAGACCTACAAAAAAAAAAAAAATATTTATATTAAACATACAACGAAAGATCTACATTATTTTATAAATTTTATTTATAAATATTTAAAAATATCTATATATAAATCTTTGTGTATTTATATGTATGTATAATTTTGCACTTAAATAGTGCATAGCCACTGAGCGTTGTTGTTGAAAAAGCTTCTATGTATAAAGTGTTCTAGAGTTGATTACAAATTAATCAAGCAAAAACTGAAATTCAGTCTCTTGAATAACATGTTCCCACTATATTATTTTGTATCGAAAAAAATCATATATGATATAAAAAACGTGAAAAAAGATTAGGTTTTCTCACCCGTGGCTAAAATAAACATTTGAAAAATTTAAATGCGTTTCACACAAACGAACTTTGTCAACAATTAAAAAAATTAATAAATATTTTGGCATTAAATGAAGTGAAATCACGATTGTTATTTTTCTTAAAGAAGAAAAATATTGGTTTCACTATATATAATCGTTGATATAATGTATAGCCATTAACAATCCAACCTCACTGTCTCAATACAAAAAAAAAAAACAAATATTGTATTAACGAACAAAAATATTATTCTTGGCCCTCGCTTATATTGTCATTGTAGGAACGTGTTCCATAAAGTAAGAAACAATCAAGAGCCTTTTTTTGTGAGTGTGTTTTTTTTTTTTAATACTGATATGTGGGCGGAATCCAGGGACAAGATATATAATATAATGTATATATATATATATATATATATATAATTATATATAAGTATATATTTGGCTCTTTTGGGCGACTAAAGGAACTAACAACAAATCATGCAAGATTAATGTATTACACGTAAATAGAAGTAATAGTAGAAGTTAATGACTAGATTTTTTTTTAAATGTATATGTATTCAAATAGCGTATTTATATAGATCAATTTAGTCAATCGTTTATGCGCGGGTGATCATTCATTTAGTCTTTATTTGGGAGACGGTAAGTTTTCATTGACGGAAATAGATAGCCGCCGAATATTTGGTCTGTCGTAATCTTCCATGCTCATGCCACGTGACAAGCTGCGCCTCGGACGTTCGCCATCTGACGAACTTCCTGAAAATGTGCGCTGTCTCTCGATGCCTGGTAACGTAACCGAAGTAAGTAGACCTTGTCCCTTGCAAAATAACAGTATACTTTGCGCCATTTTTGCTGGCTAAGGAGGAAAAAAATCATATTTAAAATTAAAACATAAACTTAGCATTATGTATATCATAAAATATTGTTAATGATGTACTATTATTGATGTTATGTTAACTTTGAATTAGTTTTATAAGTTTCTTTAAGAACAAAATTCTCTACTTAAGCAAATAACTATAAACTTTTATATTTAATTAATTTATTATGATATTATATATTAAATCAATATATATTATGTAGTTCGACAATTATTACATTAATTATTTATTGTATTTATTTTGAGAGTGAATTATTTTAATAATGAAATAAAATAAACTTAATCTTACCGCTTCTGCTAAAACATCGCCAGCTCTTTCAATTTTCAATAATGTCGCCTTGTGTTTATTTAAGTCACGATGTAATTTCTCAACCACATTAGCGTAAGATCCCAAAACTCCTGTTACCAATAATATGTCTTGCTTGTAATCTTTAAGCATCAGATCCTTTCGACTGAAATGTTTCAATAAAAATAAAAATATGTAAATATTAAAATAACGTATATTGGCAGTTAATTAATTATACGTACTTAAGAAATGCGTTTACGTATTGTTTGAGATTTTTAGAATTGATAGTACCTTGAAGACGTTTTACAAACTCATTGATAACCAACTCTTTGTCGGGATTTGTCTCATTCATAAGTTGCTACAATTTAAGCAAATATTTTATTAAAAAGTATCAAATTATATTAATAATCAACTTACATGTCCAAATTTATGGAAAACTAAATAATCCATTGCTGATTGGCTTACAGTTGATTTACCTTTCCAGTTGACGAACTAAAACAATAATAATCACTTGTTAATAAATGTTCGATTTACGAACCAACGTCATATATATTAAGCACTCACTTTTGATTTAAAATTTTCTTTCACAGATGTAGCCGAACCAGTACAATTTATGAGTATAAGTCCTAAAACGCGTGAGGGATGTGCCAAACCAAACCTAGCGACTACATTAGCACCAGCTCCTTCTCCTAATCCAATAACATAACGAATATGCAGGGTATCCAATACAGCCACTAAGTCTTCACCAAGCACTTGAAGTGATGGAAACTGAAAACTTCAAATCAAAAAAATTCCTTAAAATTATTAATTTAACAATATATAGTAATTAATATTGATACTTACGAATCAGGAAGAGTATCAGCATTGTCCTCATGACCGGGTACATCGATATGAATAAATATTGATCTGTCTTTAATTTCACTCATACATGGCTGATTCACGAAATTTTCAAATGATATATCTATATTAAATACACACATATATATATATTATAAATTCCTTAGAAGTTATTTAATGTAAATTTATATAACTCACGGTTGCATCCTAGGTCATGAACAGTGAGAAATATGGCTCTTTTGTCCTGCTGGGTAAGATCTCCCTAAATAAAATAAAGAACATATTTTTTATATAGAAATGTTATAAAAATATAAATAAGTAATTATTATACAAAGTACAATCTGAATAGCTTTATAAAACTATTATAAAGAGTATTATTATAGTATTATAAATATTGGGTATTTTATCAACAAGATTAGATAAAATTTCATATAAATGACATGTCTCCACTATAAAACTAGTACAACCAACCTATGGAAGTTTAGTAACTTACACGTACCTACATATAATCAGTTTTTTTTATTCAACACCTTTTTGGATTTTTAGGTGTATATTTGTACAGGTTTTTTGTTAAAACATGCAAAAATGTGCAGGGCATGCACTAACATCAGAATATTCTAAAATATGTAGAATACAATTTTGTTATTTAATCAACCAAGTAAAGATTCATGGACATTCATTGACTGCATGAATATAATGTTGAAAATAGCAACATGCATTTTATGCAAAATCCGGTCTTTAGTCATAATATTCTATAGTCCATATAATATAAAATGCTGACTATAGCAAAGCTTATTTACTGATTTATTACAGCGTAATATAATATCTGCAGCAATATTATGTACAAAAATGAATCAAAATAATATTTCCTAACATTTTTAGGAAGTAATTTAATATTCTAAACTCTCTAGAAAAATATATAAAATAAATTTATATATCTATATTATTATAGAAAAAAAAATCTTTTATTAGAGTTCAAGTCTAAAAATACATCATTGCTAACATTATTAAGATGCATTTACGAGATATATATATGTAAATATAAATATATCAAAAAAAAAAAAATATATATATATAAATAAAATATTAATTGAAGAATTTCACGGATGAAAACTACTCAAAAAATCCAGAGTTAGTTTTTTAAAAATATCTTTCTGATTCCTGCGATACTTTTTGGAATAAATATTGTAAAAAAGTACAAGATTAAATGATCAAGATATTTGTTTTCTACCCAAGAGTTGAAAATATTATAATAACATGTAATATTAGTTGTTTTGAAAATATTTTAAAATAATTATTATAATAAAATTACTAATGTTAGTGTTTTCAAAATTGACACTGTGCTTAAATTTTAAAATATTATACATCATCAATAATAGAAAGCTCTGTGTAAAAATGTAATATATTGTAATATAAAAAATAAAAAAAAATAAAATACATTTAAACAAAATTTGTATTTTTATTTTTTGTTTAAAAATAAAAATGATGTTGAAAACTTTTAATTGTTTTTAATAAAAATTGTATTGGTTTCAGTTAATTTTTTTCTGTATGCGATTATTTATTTTATATACTCGTACTGGTTAAATATATTCCTGCAATTAATGATTTGTAATTCATTAAATAATGTATTACCTAATAATATAACTGCTTATTAATATTTTAAAATGTTCGAACTTTTATTGTTTTATCATAATTGCAAATTTATTGAGAAATTATAAATACATAAATATCTACAATATAACTAAAACAAATATCAAAATTATTAAATTACACAGTATATATATTTTCAGACTTTAATTTAAAAGTTTTTTTATGAAAAATATAATAATATATTAATTCAATGTAAGTATAAATAATTCTTTAAAAATACAAATATTTTGAATTTATAATTATGAATAAGTATTATGATAGATTATGAATTATATTGTGAATTTAATTTAATTTGATTTTTAATAAAAAAAAAAATATTTATAAAAATATGTTTAATCATTACCTGGACGTGAACGTAGACATTGCCACTTCTCTCTGTCTTGACAAGGAATTTCTGAAAACAAATAACAGTGTTCATTCATAATCATTTATTATAAATTTTCAGTAGTATACAATAAACTATAAGCCCATAGTATAATAAGCATCTAGGTACTTGAAATTAATGACATTATTTTTGAAGTAGTATTTGATAAGTTATGATATAAATTATGATATAAAGATTTATATATTATAATACAGTGGAAAAAATTGTCTAACAATACTCTTTTGTTAATAAGTTTGCTCTACAATATACACTTTCAATAGTTTTAAAAGTAAGTTGTATAAGTATAATACACTTCGATAAAAATATAACCTAATAGAAAAGATTTTTTAAGAATTCTTAATATAGAGCAGGTGTGCCCAACCCTTTTAATCTTTCAGGACACATTCAAAATTTATATTTAGAATGGGGGCCATATATACTTCACGGTTTTATTTTATTTTTTTTGTTAATTATGCTAAAATGTACAATCGACATAATATTATCTTTGTTTACTAATAGAATTTTTAACTATAATCGTGTATGTAATGAATATTTCCACGCTGGTCGCTAGTTTGTTTTCATCATTAGAAACTGCAGGTTTTTATTTCTTGTTTGGAAAAAATAATAAATTAATCTTTGATTAAAATGATATCTCAAAATAAAAAGCGCAAAATTGATATGCCGTGTTTTCAATGATGATTATTTTTTTATTGAGTATCATAATAAAGGCATGTGTTTGATATGCTACGAAACTTTATTGTCTTTAAAGAATTTAATATTAAAATACATTATGAAAGTAAAAATTAAATAAATACGTTCATTTTAAAGGTTCATATTTATTATAATTTTTATTTTATTGAAGAGGGTATTTAGGTATTTAGGTTAGTACATTTAGAAAAAAATACTTAAATTTATATTATAAGGGAATCTTAGAACATTTTTATTAAAAGAATTAAAACAAAATTTCAAAAGTGAACGAGTTGGAAATTTATTTGAAAAACATAATAGAGGTAAGGAAGAAATCATTTGAGCAAGTTATAAAGTAGCTAATCTGATATCTCACGAAAATAAAATTTTAAGTGATAGTAAATTTGTTAAAAAAATGTATTTTAGCTAGTGTAAAAGAAATCATTCTAGAAAAATATCTATATTCGAAAATATAAGTTCGTCTTGAAACACTATTATTAAGAGGGTGGAAAACATTGGAGGTTATTTAATGATATAGTTACAAATAAAATCAAAAACGTTTAAATGTTTTCTTTAGTTTTGGACGAAAACACTGATTTAACAGACACTGCTCAATTATTAATATTTATACGAAGAATAGATACAGATTTTAATATAACAGAAGAACTTATTTTATTATAAAGCATTTCTGTAATTACAACAGGAGCTGATATTTTTAAAAAAATGGACTGTGTATTAAACATTTAGGACTAATCTAGGAAAATTTTGTAATACTCGAATAACAATAGATGGATTTCTAAATACGGTTAGACAAAATACCCAATTAGCTAGAAGGATAGCAGAGTTAACAATTTCAAAAATGATTAAAACTCCTATATTTTCACACAGTATTATGCACAAACAATTCCTGTGTGATAATATTATGAATTTGGAACATATAATGAATGTTGTAACAAAATTGGTTAACTTCATAAGATCTCACAGATTAAAACATAGACAATTTATAGAAGTTTTAAATTAAGTCGAAGTGGAATAGAAAAATGTTTTGTACCATAACCACGTTCCGTAATTAAGTCGAGCATAAATTAGATCAATTTAAACGATTTATTGATCTTTGGCGACAAATTCAAATATTTATGATAGAAAAATACAAACCAGTAAAAAAATTTAAAAACAAAGAATGGTTGTGGAATTTCGCTTTCTTGACTGATATTTCAGCTCATTTAAATTAATTAAATTTCAAACTTAAAAACAGTTAAAATTATTTTCGAGTTTAGAGATGATGTAAAATAGTTTGAAATAAAATTACAACTTCTTAAAAACCAAATCTTAAACCAAAGTTTTTTACATTTTAAAATGTGTTATGAAATTAAATAAAACTCTTCTATTGACAAAGTTCCGATGAATCATTTTATGAGTATGTTGGAACAATTATCAGTAGAATTTAAAAACTGATTTAATGATTTAAAAAATCACCTATGACTTAATTTCGGAAATTTGAAAATCCATTTTTGTTTGATAAAAATGAGGTTCAAGAAACTACTCAACTTGAACTTTTTGATTTAAAATCAAATAATTATTTGGATAATGTATTTAAAAAAAAATCGCAGATAAAAACATAAATTTAACACATTTTTTTAAGAACTTCCTGATGATTTTTTAAAAATAAATAAATTATCAATGCGTATTTACATTTTATAGTTTTATTTATATTTGTGAACAAACGTTTTTACACATGAATTTCGTAAAATGTTCTGAAATATCTCGTTTGACTGATTTTTACACATAAATTTCGCAAAATGTTCTGAAGTATCTCGTTTGACTGATGAACACATATAGTCCATATTAAGAATTTGCACTACACATTTTATCCCGAATATTAAAAGATTGGTTAAAAAAAAAAAAAAATACAAAATTTCTCACTTATTTATTTCTATTAAAAAATTCTAAAAGTCAATATATTTTTATTTGAAAATTTAAAATTTATAGATAATTTTTAATTCTCAAATTTTTATTAAAATAATATATTTTTTTTTAAATTATAATTTTTATTTTTATTTACACCTACACAAATGTTAAATTTTTATAAATTTATCATGAACTGGTTGGAATACTTCCACGATCCGTAGGTTTGGTACGCCTGATATAGAGGAACTAAAAACTAGTTAAGGTTAATTTATTTATTTGTCTCGTAGAAAAATTATTTTAATTTTATTTCAGTGCATCAGATGTGTATTAAAATAACATAGAAATAATAATAAAATATTAATTTAAATTTTAAAACTATTATTTATTTTAAAAACAACTTTACCTAAAAATTAAGTAACATAAGTAAAATAAACTATTATATATTAATTATTGAATGAGGGGAAAATCAAGTAAAAAAAAAAATTAAAATTAAAAACATTTAAAAAAAATATCTTTTAACATTACAAAGTATATTATTTATTTATTATATTCTAATTTTACCGATACGGAAATTGAGAGAGGGCGATAGAGTATAGAACTCCTTTATTATGGTTTTGAATTTCATTAATTGTATGTTTTATTGGAGCTGAATATCGGCATATCATTAGTACGAAACGTTTTATAAATGTGAACAAATAATATTTTATTATACACTATTGTAAGGTTATAATATTTAAAAAACTGTTATTATTTCTTTATATATTTATCAATTTCTCCAATTGTAAACATAGTTTGAATGTATAGTAAATTATATGATGAATTCAAATTATAGTGTATTAATAGTCGTATAAATTTAATTTAATTAAATAAAATATGAGATACGATATATTTTACCTTATTATATGATAAATAAACGATTTCTAAATAATAGTAAAATAATTGTAATTCAAAAAAATTAATCGAAAAAACATTATATTTTTAAAGATTCTTTATAGATTACAGAGATAAAATCTTATTATTCAATAAATCAAAAAAAAAAACGACAAAATTATTTTAATTTTCAAGCTGATAATTTAGTTATTAAATGTATTTAATAATAATAAGTATTTCAATACTCCTAAATGTTTTCATTTTAGAAAAATTTAAATATTCAAATCGATGCCATTGTTTACTAAATTTTGGTAAATATAAGTATAGTATAGTATAAATATAATTGGTCGTTGAATTAATACAATTTAGTTACCAGATAATAAATCTAAACGACAATTTTTGATAACTAAAATGACAAAAAAGTCATGATAATTTGAACCATGATGCCTTGAAATATTCAGTAATTCAAAATAAATAATAGGTATCATTAAAATAATTATAATAGTAATTTTCTTGATGCAAACATATTAATTTACATTTATTAGTTTACTAGAAAAGTCATATTATTGTTTACTACATTTTATTTATTTAACATTCTAGATGTCTTAAAATGTAGCATATGTAGGTGATACGTAACATTGGACAATTTTTTGAAAATGTTTTCTAGGTATTTAATAAAAATAAAATTTAAAATTATTTATTATATGTATATAAATTAAAATATACTTACATTTATTTAAAAATTTTATAAATATTTTCTTAATAGGTAATTATTAAATTATTTTTGAAGGTCATTATTAACTCCAAATCTAATATTAAAACTACACAATATATGGTACACTATAGAAAAATATATTGTAAAGAAAATTGAATAATATCACTTATTTAAAGTTTTAATTGTAATATAAAATTATTATTTATGAACAGCAATTTCTAAAGAAAATTAAAGTAATTAAACGTTTTTAAAATTATCTTAAGAATATTGACTAATTTGTTTTTATATTTCACATAAACAAAAAATAATTAGAAATTGTATAAGCTTAAGTTAAACTAAATATCATTTTTGCAGTTTATACAGTTTTTAATTCATAAAATATTTTTTTAAATACTCAGCCTTCATTTCTTAAAACGGACATTGTATCATCGTAGTATGAATAAAAAAAGTTGTGAGTTAAAATATGAATAAGACGGTTGATGATTTTATAATTTAGAGTCGAGAAAATAAGATGCTTAAATTTATCTTACAAAATCCATGAGGGTTTTTAATTAATTTATTGTTAAACTACATAGTTATTTTATTATTATGTAAATTCACTGAATCGTGATTAAAAGTAATAGTCATAGTTTTAATTGAAACGAAATAATTTATTTCGATATTAATTAGATTCAAGTTATCATACTAAAATTTAGTATTTATTACATGAAATTATTCTGCAAAAAATTATAAACGATTTGACTAATTTTTGATTAAATCATAAAATCAAACTTGTGTTTATATTAAGCTCTTTGAAAGAATACTTCCAAAAGTATTTTGCATTAAGACTTACCGAAGTACTGTTTACAGAAATCGCTTATAATAGCATTAAGGTTAAAAAATCAATGAAAAGAATATGGCTTTATAGATGTATATCCAGTCTCTTATTATACCAATAGTTATTTACAAACAAAATTGATAACAATACGTGTTTGATTTACTCTCAACAATGACTGTTCAAAACGAAGTCGATAACATTGAGTACAGTGAGTATTGATATAACTCGAAAATTAAACGTGTAAAAAAATTCGATGCCAGAACAAAAATATAATATTACTAAATTGCACATCCAACCGTGTAAATAAAATTGTTGATTGTTCAATATTATTAATCATTGGGTTTACGAATACGTTTATATAGCGCGTAGGTACTACAACAATAGGGTGGTGTACTTGAACTGTTTTGTATACATTCATGGCCCTAAATTGCCTATTGAATGCGCCGTATAATAGAGTCCTATCTCTGTTGAGGAATATCACTCATCAATTACGTCCATTATACACACTCACAGAAGTGAAGCTAACGCGCTACATCTAGCAAACTTTACGTCACACGACAATATTATTATTGTGTTAGCGCATCGCACTAAAATCCGCACCATCTGGAAATTATTTATAAACATTCAAGCAGATGTAAAATATATATATATAAATGTGTGTGTGTGTTTATGTACACTGTACAAAAATGCATAATATATTTATATAATAATATGTAGGTATGTTCTATTTATATAAACACAATATACGTAAACTAGTTATACGAGTATATACATATATCTAACGCGTTTCCCGCCATCACATTCTTCTGGACAAATAATCAATACACCGAATGTGCGCCTTAGCAATAACGACCCCCGAGGACCACCCACCCAAGTACTACCTCCTGCCTTCAGATACGCCTACACGCCAGTCACGCCGACCGTCCGACCGACCAACCCTTTTCGCTTTTTACGTTAACACGGTTCGGCATTAACCCGTATTCTTTCACTCGAAGACATATCAATTATAATTAATGACCGTTTCGTGTGGCCGCATCGTAGACCCATCGGCCGCACTTGCATTCCACGTCACCCCATTGGTCGGCGTAGACTCGCGCGCATCGGACGTTTCTAAGACGGCCGAGACCGTACCGTGTCAATGGTTCCGTCACGTCAGTGGATGTCGGTGGCGACAAAAGGACTCGTGATAAACGTTCCGAGTGGCGGGGGGAGGGAGGGCTGCGCAATTTCCGACAACATTTCAACACTATCCGGTCGTCGGTACACAGGTGCGTCGACGTTCCCGGGACGCCCACGGATATGGAGGAGCGGTGTGCAATGCAGGTGGGAGGGGAGGGTTATGTATGTACTGTTTATCCAGATGCTGCACGAAACACGTATATTCATGTACCCAGGAGGTAAGTGCATACAGTATACGTGTGTGCAGGGCACCTTTTCGCCATGGCGGCAACAGTGCCAAAATAACGGTGTAATATTATTCGGGTGGTGTAATAAAAGTCGCAGCGGGTCGCCACTATTTTATATTTTTTCCCTTACTTGCGAGTCGCTCATGTTAGATCGACGTTAGTGTTGCGTGAGCGATTGCCCAGTCGGTAAAAATCCGTGTTTACGTATTTTACGCAAACGATGCCCACGGCGGAATGGCTCGGCACGGTTAATGCGTCGTCGAGAGTTGGTATTTTAAGGCGGCGGCGATGGTGGTGGTGTTGACGGCAACGGAGGCGGCGGCGGCGGCGGCGGCGGCGGCGGTAGTGTCCACAGTGACGGCAAACGTTCGGATGACGGGTGCGTTACTGTGTTAATGCTAAAGGGGTAGGTGGTGAGCATGAACGAGGACAGAGATACGACCGTACGAACGTGGAAAACAGTGCTGCCAACGCACCGTCATCGACGGTCACGCGCACGATAATATTAATAACGAGCGAATAGGGGTGGGGGATAGCGCCGCGTACCCGCGAGTCTATCATCCCGTCAACCCCCGTGCGTTGCGATTTAACAAGCGGCTACGCGATCGGTGGAAGTTGTGCACGTGTATTATATGTTTGCTGCGATGCAAGAGAGTAAACGGAAGTGTAAGTACACCTAAGATACCACTTGGGGTGAAAAAAACTAGAAATTTTTTAATACGATACAAGTATAATAATCATTACATGAGAATATGAAAATAATACGATTTGCGAGGAATAAACCTTAATAAATCCTTAAATATTCTGGTAAAAAAGTAAAAAAAAAGACCTTATTGATTATATGCGAAACCATAGCGGGACTAGGTAATACCGATGACGAACGTGTGACTACCAAGTAGCATATTTGGTTCATGTATGATTGTTGTGTATAAGAACACAATGGAAACAATATCCAAACATTCGTGCACGTAGTCCCGTCTTCACCGTATTAACAATTTCGATTACGTGCACAACTCTAAACATTATTCGTCGACTTATTTTTTCAATTTTTTGTTATTCCATTCATCGCGCTTGCTTCGGCCGATTACTCGATTTACATATCAATGGCGTAGCGCACAAGTGTGATAAGTGACATTTTTATAATTGTTCTGGAGAACGATTTTTACTCGTGTATGAGTAATAATTTTTTTATGATGTTAGAAAAACCTGCAATTACTACATTTGTATTCTTAAAAAAAATTAAAAAAAAAAATATTGTACATTTTTTACTCGTAAAAAGTAATATTTAAACACAGTGGCGTAGCCAAGGGGGGCTAAAGGGGCTATAGCCCCCCCATGAGCCGTGTTTATATGTATAATATATCTTGACTATTTAATAGAATCAATGGATGCTCGTTTTAATCAAAGGCTTATTGATGTTATGCCACTTGAAGGACTTATTCCAGCCAATTTAAATATGTATGACGATAAAAATATTATAAAAGCTACTAAAATATATGTCCAAGATTTCCATGATGATACTTCATCTACAATCAGAGCTGACCTGTTCATCTGGAGGCAACAATGGAGTCAAAATACTATTCCAAAACCGAATTCTGCTCTTGATTCACTCTCTCATCACACCAATCTTCGACCTAACATTAAAATACTTTTACAATTATTCGTCACGTTACCAGTTATCTCTTTCACTCCGGAAAGAACATTTTCAGCACTTAATCGCTTAAAAATTTTTTTAAGAAGCACCATATCGGAAAACAGACTGAATGAGTAAGCTATGGCTAATATAAATAAAAAAGAGTAATTCGATGAAAGTGAAATAATAACTGAATTTGCCAGAAATTCGCCTAAGAGGATGCAGTTGTCAGAGTGGAGCAAGTGACTGAACACTGAAACTAAAATTATTATTATTATAAATTATATATTAATAAATATTTTTAAAACTATACTAAAATGCTTGAATTACGTTTAGAAACTTGGTGGTAGATGGTGGGGGGGTTAAGGGTGAATTCTCATATCCTCTCTTACCTTAATTATCCAAAAAAGTGGTTAGCCCCCCCATATCTAAAAATCCTGGCTACGCCACTACTTAAACACATCACATTTTTCTTCTAATTTCAATAAAGAACAACAAAAACTTGAATATTGTTATAATTTCGTTTGTGCATAATGAGCAGAATTTTATGATTAAATTGAATATATACTTAACACATTTTTCAAAAAAATTTCACTTATCACACTTGTGCGGTACACGATCGGTATACTATACATTTAAACCATCGCTACCGTAGAATACATGGACGTCCTTAGACGTTACCTAGCCCATGGTCTTTTTTTCTTCAAAATGTTGTTATCTATTATTTGTTTCACATTAGGAAAATACATATATGTGAATACTTCGTGTATTCATTGTTTTGATTGACATAATTTATAAGTTGTACTTATTTATTTTATATAAAAGTAATAGAACAGATTTACTAAAAATTATGCAAATAAAAATATATAGAAGTATAAAATAAAGGTAACTTTAACTGACTTTAAATGTTACAAATGTCGTTAAATATAATAGTTATATATAATATAAAATAAGCTTCAAAATCTAAATGATGAAAATACTTTAAAATTTTTTTGTATTAATCAGGCATGTAGTTTTAAGAGGGAGGAGGGTAGTCGAATCAATCGTTCCCTACGCCAAAGATTGTATCGTAGTAACCATGAATTAAGATATACGGTATATACAATTTAATTGCACATTATTGAAGCTTCAATAATTTTGAAGAAGGTTAATCATCCACCACCAAATAACCATATATTTATATGCCTGGTATTAATGAAAATTGTTGATTATAAAATTAGTATCAGATGTGTGACGTTGTTCAGAAAAAATTATTGACCGGTATTTTTGTTTATTTTATTTATTGTTTTTGATTAATATTATCATGATATTGCTTTGGTAAAAATTAAACAAATGCAATCTAATTCACTTTCATTTTATAGTATCTAAGATACAAAATCGATAGAAAATTAATGCATCACATTAATTATATTTAAAATTTAAAATTATTTAGGATACAAGAATACAAGATATAAAAGTATTTAAGTATATATGAGATCAAATAGGTTGATAGCTCAATGTATTTCAGTACAACTTTCAATGTCTCTACGTTTCCGATCAATTTTATTATGTTCAGAAGTATAGTTTTGTGAATTATACCGAATGTATTGTCATTATGAGCTTATAATAAAACTATTATTATGATTTTTAATTTATACATATGTCGTGAATGTACTAATAAATGAAAAATTATCCGAGGACATTGATACTTCGCGTTAGCTATAAAAGTAAATAGCCTTTCAAACATTGTTCAAAATTATACAGGACTTATAATGGTAATATAATAATAAAAACAGGGATTTGATACCACTATATGACCAAAGGTACCATTTAATGGACATTAAAAAATTATATACACATGACCCATTAGTGTATAGTACCGAATTCCTACAGCAATAAATATACAATTTCCGTTCCCTTGGAGACACTCACAGGTATTATTGTACTTTTGTATTTTCCGATTAATATATAATCATTATAAACAGACATCAACATTATGGTGTTTATAAATTTTACTATTCAACCGTAAAAAGAAATGTAACAAAAATAACAAATAATAATTAATAAATATATAGATAAATGGTATATATGCCCAATCTGCCATGGATCAATAATATATATATATATATAATATATATAAAGTTTTTATTTATTAATCAATATTAATGGAAATTATCTGTATTTGAATACTAAATACTGGAAAATTAAAGTTTGATTAAATAAATATTTATTTTTTATGATTAAGAAATATAATATTTATATTGACTGTAATAAGTTACTAACGTGTTGTTTTGTCTATAGTAATTATGATTTTAATATATATCTCAGTTAACTATATTATATAATTATTTATATATTATTTATTTTTTTGTTATAATATTATATGCATCTAGAGTATATAAATATTGTGAAAAATACATAATGAATTTACTCGTGTCAAGAGTATCCATTTACCAATATGTTGAAAAATCGATATACTTAACATAAACAATTCAATATTATATCACTTGAATTATAAAAAAATGATGGATTAACGTATATTAAAATCATATTATTTGTACTTCAAATTACATAATATTTATATATAAGCTGTATGAAATTTATAAATTATTAAAATCTTAAATAATAGTTAATTCTGGTACTTAAAATATATCTTAATATATCTGTCAATTTATTTAGAGCTAATTGTAAATTGAACTATTATAGTTTATTAATTATTATACTTATTAAAATGTATATTTAAAATACATAAAATATTTATATAAAGTATAGTAGTTTCTTTTCTTATAAATTTAGCTTTATACAGATTTTTAATTTATCTACTAATTAATTATATATTATATATTTACTTATATTCTTAGTTAATTAACTAAGAATATAAGTAACTACATACTAGAATATTCCAAACATAAACTGTCTGTGAAGAATAACAATAAATAAATTAATATATATTTTAAAAATGAACAAGAAAATAAATAAATTTAATGAACTTATATAAATTAATTGAAAAATTAAAAAAATATTTTTTTGGCAAGGTTCTTATTAAATATTAATAAGTATAAAAATCATAATTATTTTTATATTGTCATATTAGATATGTATGTTATTATTTTAGAATACCTTCAAAGATAGATTTGTAATTGTTTCAAATTTAAAAGCTATTATTTTTTTATGCCAAATCTTAATAGTACCTATTCTATAACAATTTTGAATGCATACCGATTATAATTTGGTTATACTTATTGTACAAAATAATAAAAGAAATTGGCTGCATAGATACTTCAATCAACTAATTTTAATATCTTTAAAGTATAAGTGGTAACTATGAATTTAGTCTTAGTCGACTTGGCAGCTTACCAAAAACCTCATAAATACATTTTGGTTTTAATCATTTTATTTATAGATAAACATCTCAACAACAACACGTATTATTTCTACACAAAATATGTTTTCTGTTTTAAATGAAGACTCCAGATTATCCATGAGTAAAATTTTAACTCTCATAACCATTATATTGGTTTAATCACTCTGATTAAAATATGTAATTTTTATACGGACTAGACTCACCATTCACGAGGACATTTAAAATAATTTATTCACTTATGATCTTTTTTATTATATAAAATGTATAGTTACTTTAAAGCTAATATAATTAATTCAAAAAACAAACAAGTATTTCAATTCAATATTATACTACACTGAAAGTTAGATGAAGTTTTAAAAAAATACAAATATTCATTCGTATGATAACTTAGTATGATGAAATTTGCTGAGCTGTGCGATAGACATGGACATGCAGA